TGTAGCCAGAAAAGGAACAAGTCCCTGCGTAGGTTTACGCTTGCACTGCCGAGTGTCAGGTAAGCGCAATTGCGCGCAGAAAATTTTTCGTCTTAGTGAATCGCTTGACAAAGATCCATAACAGGCTTCCAGCATGGCTATTTAGACTACGGGTTGTGGCGGTCTTGAGAGGCTTGGTCAACGGCTGCCTCACGCGTTGTCTCGTTACCCAACAACGGGTTCTCACCAGCTTGACATTCATTATTTAAAGAAGCGCGTATAAATCTTTCAGTCTATGATTGAGCGGAATCCAGGCCGTGTTCTAATCCTTGTAAACTCAATGTTGTCATTCTAGCACGTACAGCTGCGCCCGCAAGCGATGTGACGATGCGAGGTGTAGAATAGTCTCGTATGGCATGACCTATCGTATTGTAAACATCAAAGGCGTAACTTCAGTAAAAGTTCAATTCAAGTTTATATTCCCCTCCTGGACTTATTTTAACGTTATTATATCGTCTCGCGATTGTGTCGTCCTTGGCGCAGCACGACAGCTCTTCATAGAAAAAAAACATCAACAGCGAGCTGTCTGAGGAACTGGGCGACTCCTCATTGCTTAGTGCATATATTATATTCTCATCATATTATTATCTAAGGGCAGGTTATGAAGATCTTTTCGTCAGACTTGGCGACCGCGGAATGCACGGTGAGTCCGTATCTTTCCCATCTCCGTAGCCCCAGTGTCCGCAGACGCAGAATTCCTCAGCTCGTGGCAAGCAAAACAAAGGCCTTTTAAGCTTTCTCGGTCCTGTTTGCATTCACTCGCCATTGTTTTTAATTGGCTTTGTTCTGATGGGCCACACGTCATTGTTTATTATGCAGTTGCCACTTTCCAGCCTCCCCAGATAGTCTTGGCTCGATCACGTTCGGCTCTCTCTGCTGTGACTGACGATTCCTCAGCGGGAACTTACTGTGCCAACTCTCTTTTTACCTCTCTCACATTCGCATTTATATCATCAGCAGACGTACTAGATGTGGAGAGCTTGTTTGCGTAATTGAAGAAGAGCAAGAAATCCGGGCGGGGTACACTGCCCCAATCTGACTGCGCATTGTTCCAAGGACCAACGTCTCAGCTATGACTTGTGGATTATCTTGTAGATTACGTGGGTAGAAGTGCAAGGTTTGCATACTCTTGCCATTGAAGAATAAAGGAATATCCGTGCCGCTATGCCTGTCCAGATATTCGTGCAAATGTGAGCTCCGCCATCTGTATTCACCAAAGACGAACAGCTCGTCTTGACTTTGCATTTCCCGCCCCCTTTTCCGTTGCTTTTTAATCGCTCATGTTGGTCAGATATTCTGCTAGTGGCCACTTTCATAGAAATTGAAAACAGGTGTGCCAGGACATCCAGTGCAGGGTAGTCGACAGTCAACCGAGATGAAGCTTCCAGAGCCTCCGTTCAGTGCCTTTGCCCGTGTTGAAGCTCATTATGACGTATTTTCTACCTATTCTTAGATACAAAAACTAAGACATGTACAGAGTGTATAGTCTACCAACGTCAGTGAAGCAGCAAATGAGCCTCGCTACCAGGTTGACGCCTGGATCAGGGTCTATACTTGTACACGGGAACCAACGTGTTGTGAAGACGTCGAAATAAATGACAGGCGAAAACCGTCTTGAGAAGACGGATGGCGGAGAAACGGATAATTAAACAACATAAGAATATGTCGTCGTTGAGGAATGGCAAGCAGCCATGTCACGATGATGGGCAATGCCACTGGTGAAGCATTCACGAACGCTTTGCAAAGCCGTTATATTTCATAGTCACAAGACAACAGCCGTTGCCCCCAAATGGAACTAATCAGTGCTTGTCTTTCTCATGCTTGGCAAGTTTATCAGATCGAGAGTAAACCTTTGTGCATCCCTGATAATTGCACTTGTACACAGTCTTTTCCTCCTCGGGCAAGTGCACCTGCATGTGTCTGTCCAATTCGCGCTGCTCCGCCGACCGAAACTTGCAATCCGCATAATAATCACACTTCAAGGGTCTGGTGTGTCTCTTGACGTGTTTTCTGCGTCATGATCAGTATGTATCCATGAAGCACGGTGGCTTGTGTCGCTTACTGGAGCAGGCTCCGTATCTCAAAGCTCTCGTTGCATTCGGAGAATGGGCAGTAGAATCGCCCGTCTTTCTCACAAGGCAAAATATGATTGACAGAAGCGGATTGATCTTGCTCATATGTCACAAGAATGGGTGCGGTGGCCGATGAAGAGCCTTCGCCGACATCGACGCTCGTTGAGCTCAATGTCTGGCCAGCAGAATGTTGTTGCATTCGCATACTCGTCTCAGGTTGAGGAGTGTACGAGTACTGCTCCGATGTAGCACTCTATTGATGCATCATCCCTGGGTGCGAATACAAAACATTCTCTGTTGCGAGCTCGCCGGCCATGGGATTGTCGGCTTGTGCCTGCGAGTGCTGAGCTGACAGTAGCGCCGGATCAATGAAATCACCGTCTTTCAAGAGTCAACATCTAAACAAAGGCATTTATTACACCCGTTCTCACCATATATAGCGTTGTCTGACATGTTTGCCGTCAGCGCATCTGCACCCTGAGGGAGATTGTCGGCTCTGCTGCTGCGAGAATTCATCGAAAGCAGTTCTGATACAAATTCAAGGGGAGGAATTGTTTGACACTTGGTCAAATAAAGCATTTTTATATCCATCAACAGCTATCACTAAAAGTCTTTGCCTCTTCCTGCGGTGGCCAGCCACTACTGCAAGCCTGCAGATTAGGCATCCAGCCAAGCCCAAACAATAGCCAACACTTTTCAGCTCTCATCGAGGTGTACGCCTTCCTCACAACTGAAACCCGAGGCGCTATTTCTTTCTCAAGTTTGCTCACTTCTTGTCGTAATCAATCATCCGCCCGCGTACAGTGACCGGCCTTGCAGCCCTCGCAGCGGCTCCTATGATGAGGCCGCGTTTGCTTGGACTCGTGATGCACCCTCGGCACATTGATCCCACTCCAGATTTTGAGCCACTTTGCTACCCTTTCTTCGTATGTCTCATCGAGTGTTGGCAGGGCAAGAGCGTCGCACCTCTCGCAGCGCTGATGATACACCAGGACGGTGTACTTGTTGTCGCGAAACAGGCGAATCACGATGGCGATGCACTTGCTGCTCCATTTCTTGGCACATTTCTTATTTCCGCATTGGAACTTTCCGGTGACATTGGAGTCTTTGTATTTGATGGGGTGGCTCTTCTCGCCCCGAGGCCGAAAAGTAAAGTTCAACTGGTCGTCGTCGAGGAGAGACTGCACTCTTGGGTGCAGATAGGGATGCATAGACGAGTTGCGTATGTTTGGCATGGTGCAATTGCTGAGGTGGTAATAACTTTGTTTAGCAGTATTTTCCTGAAATGGGACGAATTTGATTTGACTGCGTGACTTCAGACCACTCGATTTTTGAAGGGCAAGCTGTATCAAGTAGTTTTCTGCGAGGGCCTACCATTAAAAACGATTCTGAGAAGCTGAGTCACTAACTTGATTAACTAATGAATGCGTATGCGGGAAAGAAAAGAAAGATGTGTCATCAAGTGAATGCAAAGTGAAATCTTTTGGGCGAAACATTTGTGCCGTTATTCACAGGCCCGCAGGCCTACGGCAGCACATCTAGAACATTTGATTTTTCTTGCAGCAACATCTACAGAGAAATCGACCGGATTTCGAGTAACAGTTTATATGATCACTTCAGTGCATGAAAGCTGTCGTGGGTTAGGACGGGATAGACATCAAAATGGATTGTTATATGCCGTCGCTCAATAGCGCCAACAAGCAGCGACGCAAAACTTTTGAGGAATGATCTAATTCTGTTTCTAAACTGATGAGAGCGGAAATGTCCGACTCGAAATGATTTTTTTTCTTGGAATAATTGTGAGGGTCGTCGAGCCGAGTTCACGCATGCAATTTCCCGCATCTTTGCCAGCAGTTTAGAATATATCAGGCTTCCGGCGCGCTCCACCCAAAGCTACTCCAGCAAGCTTCGAACCACCACAACGCCGAAACCGCTGCTTCTGCACGGCACCAACCATGTCGCCGAAATCGTCCCTGATGCGATCTGGCGGCGGCTCCCTCCGCGCCGTGGCATTGACTCGTCAGGTCGCGGCCAAGAGGCAGGTCTGCGCGATTTGCTCCATGTCCGGCGCCGGCCTGGCCACCACCCCCCGAAGAGCGAGAAACAACGCGCCGATACGACCGAGCCTGCCCTATCGACGACAAAGCTCATCTACGGCGTCTGCTGCGAGCAGCAGTAATGTGCGCGCGGAGCTCGAGCAGGCGCTGGTGCAGCTGCAGAACCAGTCACCGCGTTTGCTGAACCTCTCCCGGCTGCAGCTCGCCCTGCAGGGACTGCGCCAGACACCCGGCGAGGAGACCGTCCGGGTCGCCATCCTGGGGCTCGCCAATGGGTCGAGCCCTGGTTCCACGGCCAAGCGTCTTTTACGAGCGATTCTGAGCGATCCGCTTCAGGACCGGCAGGCGTGGGAGACGCGGCTCGACAGCTACGACTTGACGAGGCCCCTGGTCGTCAAGGTCAGCGCTGGCCCACACCTAGACGAAGCCGCCATCGATGTGGCCAAGAAAGATACGATTCAGCGACTTGACATTTCGTCGCCAGATTATAATGCGCTAGGTCTCGAGTTCTTGTTAATGGATGTCGAGGCGTCTGTCCTTGCCGGACAACAGTCGATCAAGCATCTGGAAGACGCCGCGCTGGTGCCGTCCGTGGCCACTCGTTCTGCAGACGGCCGCGTCTCGCAGACGCCTGCCCCCGTTCACCAAGCACTGATTGTGGCAGACGGCCTCATGGGTGCGGTTGCTATGGCATCGCTGCCAGTGTCTGAGAGTGGTGGAGCCAGTGCCGCTGCCGTTGACATGAAAGGTCTTGCTGGGGAGGAGCTATATGCGCCTTTCAACGTCATTGACGTGGCCCAAGCCGAAGACGGTATTCGTCTGTTCCGCGAGGGTCCTCAAAATGCAATGCAGTACGAGCGTCTCTGGTTCGCCAGCAAGGTGCCGGCCCTGGCAGCCTGGCTCAAAGCCGGCCTTAGGACGGAGAACGCCGCTACGAAGCCTGCCATCAAGCAACTACTTGCCTCGCTTCTCGACAGCGCCCAATCCGCGATCCAGGCCGAGGAGTCTCTCATTGTTGCCAAGACGCTCGCCTCCAAGACGCCCCTCGACGACGCCACCGGTCTGCACACGGGCCTCGCCGCGTGGGCGCGCCAAGCCCACAGCGAGCTCCAGGACGAGCTCGACCTCGCGTTTACGGGCCGCCGCTGGCGTAAGCTCGGCTGGTGGAAGCTCTTTTGGCGCGTCGACGACGTGGGCATGCTCACCAGCGACATCCTCAGCCAGCGGTTTCTGCCCACGGCGGAGCGCGAGCTAGTATACCTGGCTGGCCGCATCGCGGAGCTACGCGGTGAGCCCCCCCGGTACCCGCAGCCTGTCTCTGAGCTCCCAGACTCGCCGGCGGCTGCAGCCAACACAGCGGCAGCTCTGCCCAAGTGGCCCGGCCACATTTCCTTTACTCGTCGCTACCTGCACGAGACTGTTCCCGCGCTGCAGGCTACCGCCCAGCGTCTGCTGATGCAGTCCCTCGGTACTTCATCGCTTGCGGCGACGCTGGCCGGCATGCTCTACGTGTCGTCGTTCACGTCGGGCTTTTATGAGGCTGGCGCTGTTGCCGCGCTGGGTATCGTATACAGCCTGGGCCGCATGCAAAAGAAGTGGGAGACGGCCCGCCGGTTCTGGGAGGGCGACGTTCGCGAAGAGGGCCGCAAGGCGGTGCGCGCCGTGGAGGAGAGCGTCTCCCAGGCTCTGGTTGCCCAAGACTCCGTCTCCCCAGCGCAGGCTGAAGAGCTGCAAAAGGCCAAGGGGCTTGTATCGAGGGCAGAGGAGCTCCTTTCTCGTCTAGAGTGAGAGGTTTCCGTCGGCAAGATGGCCGTGGTCCTAGGCCAGTTGTTATTGGCATGTAACATATTACTCTATTCCTTGCTTTATTAGATTTTAGCCTACACTACCAGCCGCAAAAGCTTTGTTTAATGTCACCACACGATAAATGAACTCTAGAATGCTTTCTGTTTTTCCTTTCTTTTTGCTATAATCATAATTTGGCGTTCGCCAGACCGACTATATCCTACCGAGAAAATGGCAGCGAGTCATATATGAACCGTTAAATCCCAAAACACAAAACCGTAAAAACGCCCCGATTTGATAGAAAAAACGCAACAGCAGGTATCACTGTCTGGAACGGGAATAAAAAAGAATTCTCCAAAACCACACATCATTTTCTGCATTTGGCCCCATTCATCCCCCCAATTTCCCCCCTCCTCATTGCTCATACCGCCTCGATGGCTTTTACCGACCGCCGCGGCCACCAGCACGAGCACGGCTGACGGTTGCACGTCCGCGAGCCATGCCGACACCACGGCCACGGAGATTACTGCTGCGGAACATGGGCGCGTTGCGGAGCATGTCGGGGACGATGAAGAAGCGCACGTGAGAGCCGCGAATGTAAACCTGGTCGAGGTGGGAGACGCGGCCATCGCGGGCGGTCACGGTAATGTCCTTGAGCTGGACGTTCATGTTGTCCTCGGCTATACAATGGGGGGTCCAAAGAGTTAGCAATCTGTCTCTCGACACTCGCCTACTGTGCAGGGAAAATGGGAGTATGTGGCCGTACCTTCGAGAAGCTTGCCGCGGTAGGTCTGCCCAGACGTAATTTCGAGAGTAATAATGTGACCCTGCGTTAACATAAGAGTTAGTCTTTTGCTAGCCCTTTACCAGTTGCAGTACGTGCAAAAAATGCGCGAGCGCGCGCGTGCCAGATACGGCTGCAGCGGTGACGAACGAAATGAATATAACAGGCGGGCTTGCTGGGAGGGGGGGAAGAAGACGCACCTGAGCTTCGTTCAGGAGCTTGATGGGAATGCCAATTGTCGAAGTCATGCTGGGCAAAAGTTGTCCGGGTGTGTTGTGTGGGAGCGACGCGCAAAACAACAAGTGAAAGAGTTGCAGACTGGATCGGGCTTGTGGTGGTTCTGGCCTGGAGCTTGAATTTTGACGTGCCGCCCAGCCCACCCGCCGCGATAGCTTTTGGCGGTTCTGTCTCTGGCGAGCTGGGCGCGCCGCGGTGGTTACGTTTATCCGGTTCCCGGCGGGCTGGCGGGGCTGTGCGCAGCCTGTAAAATGGAACATCACTCCGCTGCAATGCAGCATCTCGAACATGAATAAAAAAAGACATCTTATGGTGCATCTACTCTTTATTTGACTTTTGCAAAGACTTTTTCAGTCGGTAATTGCATGGCAATGGTCTGATCGATGATAGAACTGCATGCAAGGAGAGCGATACATGAATGTGGGGGCCATCGACCATCACTATTCTGTAGCTGGTGCACTCTCAGATTCGGCTTGGGTATCATTATCTGGTTTTACTTTCTTGGGCAGCGCATCAAGCGGTTCATTCTTAGCCTTGCGCTTCTTGGTTCGAGACGCAAGCTGCTCCCTCTTTTCCTTTTTGCGTAATTGCTTGTCCACGTTGCCAATGACCTTGCTCTCCTGGCCACACGGCCACTTGGCCAGGGCTTTTTCCTCGTCCTCCTTGGACCATTCAGGCGGCAGCACCGCAAAGACGAGATACGAAGTGTGTGTCTTGAGATCGCTCTCGGAACGGTGAGTGAGCCGTCCTTGCATCCAAGGCTTGTCGTGGTATTCGTCTATCGCAAGCTCGTCTGACGCGGGCACGGCCTCCGATGCCGCAGCCGATGAGTCAATGTCCATTGGCTCAGCGACGGCAGCAGCAGCAGCGGTGGCGCTTTTCTTGTTCTGAGCAAGTTGGGCTTTTTGAAACTGTTTGTTCTGCTGATTTACTTTGCGCAGCTTGGTCACGGCTTCGAGGACATCGGCTGGTGTTTGTGAGTTGCCACGCTCGTTGGGCATGTTGACTCCGACTCGCTCGCGCGTGACGTTGAGGCGGCGTTGTGAAATCTCAACCATATCGACATCGGTCCAACCGAGCGTCCGCAGCTCGGTGACTGTTCTTGATACTTGCTCAATGCAGGGCGAAAATGTGCAGATATGGACCGACTGCTTGGGGTCCAGGGGTGAGGAGCCACTACGCCGTGACAGATGCTGGAGAGCTTTCCATGGAGCTGGCAGATCGAGAAACACGGCCGTGGCATTGGGTGATTTCCCATCCACCATGAACCCATCTCTATAAACATCTCGATGTTGTATTTGCACAATATCGGAGAGGGAATGGCTTTCAATCTCCTCTGTCATCTTGTGGAACCGGTCCTCGTTGAACTCGAAGCTAAACACCTTGCCCTTGGTATCGAACTCGTCTGCGGGGTAGCCATTATACACTGCTCGTGCGGAAGCATGCGAGAAACTGCCGCTGCCTGCGCCGGCCTCTATTATTCTCGTGCCGGGACGAGCTCGTATGCGTTGCAGAATGTAGCTGTAGTCGGGTGTGTAAACGACTTGAGTTCGATGCGGCAGGCTGCTCGTCCAGAGCTCCGGAGAAGGCCTCAGAATGTAAATGAAGCCACTGGTGGCTACAGTGGCCTTTTTCGCCGGCGCTTTGCCGCTCTCGTCTTGGCTTGCGGCCGGTGTATCGTCGTCGGTCGTTTCTAAGCGACGTTTGCGGCCTCGCGATCCTGTGTCTACCGCCGATGCGCGGACTTGAGAGCCCCAGGGTATGTCAAGTAGCGTCGAATGTGGAAACGAGCCGAATCTGGTGTTTAACGTTGCTCCCTCTGCGTATCCGTCGACGGCTCCAGAGGACTTTTCGAGGCGAATGGCGTCAAAATCGTCACGCGCCAAGCTGACGATGGCTAGAGAGCCGGGTTTGGTGCGCTCGCCAGGCTCTAGAAACGGTGAAGGCACAGCGGACATGATGACACACGTGATAGGAGATGGTCTGCTACCAATTGTATAATTTGTGTCGCACCCCAAGCCTTGAGGTTTGCTGTCTTGCGCCAGACGAAAATAATTCTGAAAAAAGAAAGTCGCGAATCTGGTTGGCTCCACTGCTGGAAGCCTCCACTAGAAACGGTCTAGCGTCACTCACCTTTTGCTACCTGTACCTAGCCGCGCACACCGCGCTACCCTCCGACCCTTCTGGGGTTCGCTCTTCTAAGTCATGGCCGCTACTTGGAAACAAACGAATGTTGAAAGATTAGATAATTCATTTTGGGGACTGCCCAGAGAGTTCCTTTTTATGTTCACCTTCTTTTTCCCTCAGAGAATTCAGGCGTCGAGTAGCGGTGTTTACCAGCCGCCTCGACCGCCTGTAATGCCTTGTAATCGCTATTTTGGCGCTGTGACTCGCTGTGACTCGCTGTGACTCGCCCCTGTCCGGCGCTGAAAAAGCCTTTGGATCTAGTGAGGGGTAGCGCTGGGCACGCAAAGCGGGGTGCAAAAACTGCCCTGAGAGGGAATGACAGCTGGTCTTGGTGGCTCGTTTTCGAGGCTTCATTGTCGATTCATGCACTTTGCAACAGCGCTCTCCTCCCGCCCTGGGCTCTTGCTGGTGACTCACGATCAGTCAACAAGGTTCGAGTCATTTGATATAGTGCGCATATAAGCGTCGAAGTCTGCGGCTGGTTCCTGGCGCCGCTTGTCTGTATGCATCTCCTGCGCATACTGTCGCCATCTCGTACAATATCCCCTCGAACGCTCGTCCGATTTCACAGGCTCTGCTCGACTGGCACCATGGCCTCTCTCAAGTTACACAACTCGCTGCATCCCGGCGCACCAGTTCCCTTTGTTCCTCGTCAAGATGGCAAGGTGAGCTGGTATGTCTGTGGCCCGACAGTCTACGATAAGAGTCACTTGGGCCACGCCCGCAACTACGTGACCTCGGACGTCATTCGCCGCATTTTGATGCATTACTTCAAGTTTGACGTCAAGTATGTCATGAATATTACCGACATCGACGACAAGGTTGGTTTGCCAGAAACTTGTCGCCCGCCATCTTGACTCACACAATTCAGATCATCATCAAAGCGAGACGGCAGCGACTCCTCGACGTCGAGAAGAAGAAGCAATACTCTACCGAAGAGGTGAAGCAACTGGGTCTGAATGCGTTTGTCGCATACGCCCAGAAAAGCTTGCCTCTATTGATCGAGACCGAGCCCAACCTCAACGAGTCCAATTACCCTGCCATCAGAGACAAGGCCTACGCCACGGTGCTCGCTGGAGGAACTCTCACTGGCGAGGGTAAACCCAGCGATGCTGAAGCAAAGGTCAAGATGCACATTGCCAACATGAATGTGGCTGCCCAAGCTATCAAGTCTGGCCAGATCCATCCCGGTTGCGATGAAATTCTGCTGCCCTATCTCGACTCTCTGTACAAGGAGACGGTGGATACTAGCGACCAGACCATGTTCACCGACCTCACCAAAGCCATGGAGGAGCTGTTCATGCAAGACTTGGATTCGCTAAATGTTCTGCCTCCCGATGTCATTACTCGTGTCACCGAATATGTTCCTCAGATTGCCGACTTTGTGCAACGCATTGTTGAAAAGGGCTTTGCCTACGAGGCTGACGGCTCCGTCTATTTCGATATCACTGCTTTTGAAAGGGCTGGCAACACCTACGCCAGACTCCGACCCGATAGCAAAAACGACAAGGCCCTACAGGAAGAGGGTGAGGGCGCCCTCTCTACCAACCTTGGTGGCAAGCGCTCGCCTGGCGACTTTGCTCTATGGAAGAAGTCCAAGCCCGGTGAGCCCTTCTGGCCCAGCCCTTGGGGCGACGGCCGTCCGGGCTGGCACATTGAGTGCTCTGTCATGGCATCCGATGTTCTTGGCTCGCAGATGGATATTCACTCTGGCGGTATTGATCTCGCATTCCCTCATCACGATAATGAGTTGGCTCAGAGTGAAGCCTACTTTTATGAGCCTGGCAAGGGTGAGCACACTTGGGTTCGTAACTTTCTTCATACTGGCCATCTGCATATTGCGGGCTCCAAGATGTCCAAATCCCTCAAGAACTTCCAGACCATTCAGGATGCGCTCACCACCACATTCAATGCTCGTCGCATGCGCATTGTATTTTTGATGGGCAAGTGGAACGATGGCGTTGAGATCTCGCCCGACATGATTACCCAGGCCGATAGCTGGGAATCTACCATAAGCAACTTTTTCACCAACACAAAATCCTGGCTCGCCGAGGCTGGTGGCAGCAGCGGCATCAAAAACTTGTCTCTCTCTGACAAGTCTGGCTCACCCCTCGTCACGGAGCTGGAACAGGCCAAGTCCGAGGTCGACGCTGCGCTGTCAAACTCTTTTGATACCCCTCGAGCCATGCTCGTCATGCTAAAGCTTGTCAACACCACAAACGCTTACCTCAAGGACAACAGGGATGTTAATCTCTCCGAGGTGGAGGCTATTGCCCGATGGCTCACGAACGTGGTTGGCATCTTTGGCCTTGACGCCAACGCCAAGCCTCCCTACAATGGCCTCGGATGGGCGTCTCTCATTGCCGACAACGTCGATCCCAAGGCAGCTGTTGAGCCCTACAAGTCCATGATGGACAAGGTCAAGGTTGATGTCAAGGCACTGTCTTTGGACAGCGAGAATATTTCTTCCTTGATCGCCAAGGATCCTACTAGTGAATTTGACATCATTGCTCAAAGTGGCTCCAAGGACATTGAACAGCTCTCTCTACCCTACCTCCGTGTGGCTGCCCAGCTCCGTGACGAGCTTCGCCGCGTAGTGTCTGCGCAAACTCCCGACGTCAAGAAGGCTATTCTCAGCCTGACTGATCGCATCCGCGATCATGACTTTACGAACCTGGGTGTCTATCTCGACGACCGTCCTGACAACCAGCCTTCTCTCATCAAGTTCATCCCCGCCGCCGAGCTCATTGCCGCGCGCGAGGAAAAGGTAGCGGCAGCCGCGGAAAAGGCCAAGAAAAAGGAGGAAGCTCGCATTGCGCGCGAAAAAACGGAGCAGGAGGCCCGCGAAAAGGCCAAGATGCCCCCGGAGGACTTGTTCAAGACGGACGAACGCTACAGCGCCTGGGACGAGCAGGGCCTGCCGACGAAGATGAAGGATGGCAGTGATGTGCCAAAGAGCCAGCAGAAGCAGAACAAGAAGAACTGGGATAGACAGAAGAAGGCGCACGACGACCTAAAGGCCAAGGGCGGCCTGTAAAAGAAGCATGCATGGGAAAGAGGAGTTGGGCCGGTAGCGTAAAGAGATGCACTGGCCTTCATCATCATTACTATTTTTTTTTTACTTGTTTATTTCTGCAATTTATGAAGCAGGATTTTCGAAAAAGTCGGCATGGTATCTCCGACGTGGAAATGCAATATCGTCCTCTCGTTTATAAATATGATTACTTCGTGTCCTGGCTTCGGATGATGCTGGTCGCAATGGTGCGAAACTCTTTCCCAAACTGCAGCTTGTCTTGCCACCGTCGGGGAATGGCATCTTCGCCGTCGCGCGCGCCCAGCAGCCCGCCCGCAATCGCCGCATTCGTATCCGTGTCCTTGCCGATGCGCAGCACATCGACGAGCACGTCCTCGAGGCAGCGGGGGTCGAGCAGCGCCGCGACCGCGACCGACAGCGAGTCCAGCACGTAGCCGCTGCACTCGCCCGGCATCGCGCTCGGCGGCGGGCCAAACCGCGCCAGCCCCTGCAACCGCAGCTGCGTGCCGAGCTTGAGCGCGCCGAGCACCGATGGCGGCGACGTCGTCGTCTTCTTCTTATCCTGAGGAGGCGGCTGCGCGTGCTCGAGTTTGCGGCATAGACGGATGCCGGCATCGACGGCGGCATCGGGCCCGCGGCCCTGCACCAGCTCCGCGACGATGGTGTTGTACACGGCGCACGACACGGTGCACAGCGCGTCGTCGTGCGTGATGCGGCTGATGCGCATGCTCTCTGCCACTAACCGCTGTGCGTCGCCGGCGGCGGCGGCGGCGCGGAACAGCCCTGTCGGCAGGCACCGCATCAAGCTGCCGTTGCCGGCGCGGCCCTGCCCCGCGCCGGCCTTTTCCGGATCAAGCGTCTTGGCGAAGCGCGCGAGGCCGTCGTCGGTCGCGGCGCCGATATCAACGGGCCGGGAGCCGGGCGCGCGGCCCGGCCACTCACCGCTGCGCCACTTGAGAAAGTAGCGGCCGGCGCGCGTCGCGACGTCGTCGTGCGCGTGGGCCGCGTCGGTCAGGCAGTCGAGGTAGGCGAGGAGCACGCCGCGGGTCATGTCGGTGTCGTCGGTGGCGTGGCCGGGCGTCCAGCGGAAGACGCCGCCGCCAGTGATGCTCCCGAGGGTGCTGCTGTGGCCCGGCGGGTAGGCGGCCTTGATGGAGCCGTGGCTCTGGAACTCGACGGTTGCGCCGAGGGCATCGCCGGCGTGGAGGCCGAGCAGCGCGCCGATGATGCGGGACTCGCGGGTAATGGTCGGCATTGTGTGTGGACGGCGGTGTGAATTTTTGTCGACGAGATGCAAAGTCTGGACCACTTTACGGCTGAAGTGATTGCCCATGCTGGCTTTATATGGGCAAGTTTGCGTTGTTGAGCCTAGTTAGAAAAGTGAAACGCCCAATGGGGCCGCAGCTGAGCATCCATGTCAGCCTCGTTTATCGTCAGAAAAAAAAAGCAGAAGAAATCTAGTTAAGCCGAAATCACCAGAGCGTGATATGTGTGTATTGAGGCAGTATTTTCGAGTCTACATCCGCCCGAAACAAGGGTTAATGAGTGATGAGTTGTTGAGGTAACAGGGCTGGCTGTAATTAGGTTACAAGGAAGTGTCTCCCAAGTCTCATGTGGTTTGTCGTTGGCGGCAAGGTATTGATAAGCTTTGATGAGACTCGTGTATTCTGCAACATGTACAATTGTTATCCGATACTAAATAGGGACAATTCCATCTTCTCCGCATCACTCAATATCATCCTTTCTTGCTCCGCTGGCCGGCCCAACTCTTGGCCCCACACGCTTTCATTTGGAGGGGCTACTACCGACGACATCCACCAAAGTCAAAAACCGCCGCCACCTCCATATAACCCGACTGCCGATCCATCCCCAGGTTCGCGTCATCTATCCTTCCATTCTTCTTCTTCTTATTCTTCTCGAGCACCCCTCCCGCTTCATTTCATCCCCAACGAAAAACCGATAGTCTACGAAGAATAACTTCCTTTTTTTATCACCATGGCGCAGACAACCGCCCACCGCCGCCTGCTCCAAGAGTACCGCGCCCTCACCAACAACCCGCCCGAGGGCATCACCGCGGGCCCCGTATCCGAGGACGATATTCTGCGCTGGGAGTGCCTGATTCAGGGCCCCGAGGGCACGCCCTTTGAGGGCGGCGTCTTTCCTGCCGAGCTCAAGTTTCCCAAGGACTATCCGCTCGCGCCGCCAACGATGCGATTCCTCTGCGACATTTGGCATCCAAATGGTTAGTCTCCCCCCTCCCCCCCTAACCCCTACCTCTCTCTCTCTCTCTCTCCGTGCCTACCGTCCTGCTCCCCGATGGGACATGCTCTGCTCTTCTAGGATGTGCTGCTGACGTATGCACGAAAACACAGTCTACTCGAGCGGCCTCGTCTGCATCTCCATCCTGCACGCGCCCGGCGACGACCCCAACCACTACGAGCACGCCTCGGAGCGCTGGTCCCCGATCCAGTCGGTCGAAAAGATTCTCATCTCCGTCATGAGCATGCTCGCGGAGCCAAACGACGAGAGTCCCGCCAACGTCGAAGCCGCCAAGATGTGGCGCGAGCGCAGGGCCGAGTACGAGAATGTCGTCCGTGGAGGGGTCCGGCGATCCCTGGGCTTGTGAGCCTCGGCTTCTTGCTTTTTCCCTACGACATGACGAAATACCCTTTGCATGAATAGATTTTCTTTATTATATTTCTTCTCTTTCCAGTCCTCAAACTTCAAATGTCGGTGACTCTTTACTCTTTTGTGCTTATGCATTTGCGCCGTCACTCACCGATTGGTTGTAAAAGTAGACAGTAACCATATAACCATATGTAATGTGTATTGTCTTTATTTGATTTTTTCTGTATCCCAAACGGAAACAAACAAGGCTATCTGCCATGCTCCCATGCTCTTCCCCGTCTAATGTAAACATGCTTCAGTTAATGTTTTGCCTTCATATCTCATAGTCCATTCTCCGCCTTGAACTTGTCCCACGCCTCGTTGAGCGTACTAAACACCAATCCCGCAACAAGTCGCACTTCTGTCGAAGCAGTCGGCGCAATCTACGAAACACATGGGATTAGTACAACACACAGAAACAAGACCCATCTCTGCCCCCTTTTGCCTGCCGACTGGAAATGCTCACCTTGTCCGGATGCGTCTTGGCAATCGCCTTCATGTACGAAATCTTGACCTTGTTCGCCATGACGAGCTCGTGCATGCCCACCTTTTTCCAGCCGCTGTCCTCCCAAAGCACCTGGTCCAGGCTGGCAATGAGGCCGCGCAGGTTGTCGCGCTTGCCGTCGCGCCACGCCGCAATCTTGGCGTCCACCGCTTCCGAGAGCGCAAACTTTTCGTCGTCTTCCTTGGCGGCCGCCTCGTTGGCCTCGCGAAGACGCGTGACGGCCTCGGAGTCTTTTTGGGGTCGCAGGCTGGCCGCCGCGGATGAGCGAGTAGGCTTGGGCGCGGGCTTGGGCTTGGGCTTGGGCGCGAGCGCCGTCTGGCATCGTTGGCGGCCCTTGGCGGCCGTCGCGCCGCCGAGTCCAGCCTCGACCGCTAGCTTCCACACCGCAAGGGCGTCTCCCCACTTCTCCATCTGCTCCAGGGCTTCGGCCTTGCGGCTAAGCGCCTTGCCGTACAGGTCGCGCATGTCTCGCTTCTCTTCTTGGCCATTATCTCCCGTGACGGCCACTGTTTCGCCTTGGCCATTGCCTGGCCCGATGATGCTGATGGCGTTGTCGGCATCCGTCACGGCCTGCTTCGGCTCGCCCGTTTTCAAAGCAGTCAGTGCTCGATTAGTAAGGAGAATGATAGCGAGAGGATGGGTAGAGGGCACGGCGGATAGCGACGAGGAATAAGATGAATGAGCCTGCGCAAAGTCTCCGCGCTTGAAGTGCGCTGTCCCCTCAAGGCGGTGCTTTGTAGAAGTCTGTATCGCAGAAGGCGTGATGGCGGGAATTTGGCGGGCGGGCGTTGGTGTCGGTTTTCGCACGGGAGTAGAGGTGGATTGTGATTTCTTCGCAGCTGGTGCTAGCTGAGAAGGAGGAGCCGAACGGCTCGGTTGCTTCGGAGCTTCAGAACCAAACAGCAGATCCGGTTCAGGCTCCGTTTTAGCAGGCTCAGCAGGAGAAGCTGGCTTGCGTCGTCTGCTCGAACTAATGGCAAATGTATCATCGTCGTCTGCAAATCGGTTAAGCCGTGATCGCGCATTCGGCACCAAGGGAGGGGCAGCTTGTTGTTGCTGCCACCTGGGCACGGAGCCGCTCCGACTCTGGCCGGCAGACGAAGTCGTAGGCGATGAGTTTCTTGTGTGATCTGGCGTCGCCCGATGAGTCTTTTCTTTGGTCTGTCTTGGTCGTCCACCCGATTCCAGCATCGCAGCCTCATCAGTCGTATTAGCCTCCTCTCTCATGGAACCGCGTGCCTGGTTCGCCTGAGCATCGCGCATCCACTTGGGCTGGCTGGGATCGCCGCCACCGCCGCCCTCCTGTTGAAAGTCTGCTACAGCCTGCTGCATCTTCTTCTGTCCCGTCTTCCACAGCGAATTGGCCGTCTTGAACAGACTGCTTCCGACAGCGGCCGCGGACTTGGCAAAGTCGGGCTCGCTTCGACCCGAGGGTGTCTGTTCCCGACGCTCCGATCGGTTCGAGTTGTTCGACAAGGGCCGTCCCTGCGCTTGCGCTTTCGACTTTCGGTGCGCCTCGTCGAGAAGCCAGTTGGCCGCTTGCTGGACGTTGGTGCCGGCACCGCTCTCGACCAAGGCGCGGCGCGCATCGTCGGGCGCAAAGCCGTAATCGACGAGCTGTGCCACGGCGCCGTCAAACTCGGCGTCAGCACCATTATGGGCTCGACGAGTATCGTTTTGCGGTCTCTGTTGCGGCTCATCTTCGTCGGAAGAGCTCGAGTCGTCATCCTCAATCGGCTTGCCAGGTTTGCCACGCTGCGGGGCAGCCTGGTGCTTGGCGCGCACCTCTTCCACCGGCCGGCCCAGGTCGCCCAGAAAATCATCCTCGTCGTTGTTCTGTGTCCGCGGTTGTGATACCGCCGCCGCAGGAACATCCCTGGGCTTGAAATCGCTCAGGCCAAACGGATCGTCATCGTTGTCTGGAAAGGCCACAGGGTCCGACGCCGAGGCGCTCCAGGCAATGGGGTTCGAGAGGTCGAGGGGTTTCTTCTCAGCGGCCGGTGTGGGAGCCTTCTTCTCTGGTGGTGGGAAGTAGCTTGAATTGTCGACCTTGGTGTCCTTGTCGAACGCGGCAAACAGGTCGTCGTCGTCGTCGTTGCTAGAACTCCGCGCAGCTACAGCTGGCGGTTGCAGCGCAGGACTTGAAGTCTGGCCGCGCGACCCGAGCATGTCCCATTGCTGCCCATTACCAAACTGTGCCTCGGTCAGCTTACGCTTCTCCTCCTCCTTCTTGCGCTTCTCGGCCTCGAGCTGCGCCTGGCGCTCAGCGAGACTCAGGTTCTGGGAGGTCTTGGCGGGGCCGAAACGCGCCAAGCTGCTGAAGCTGTCCGAGGCGGCCTTTGGCGGTTGCTGCTGCTGCTGCTGCTGCTGCTGTGGTTGTATTGGTTTCGCAAAGGAGCTGCTCCCCGCGCTCTGCGTGGACGCGGGCGTGCTGCGTCCAGACGTAAACGGCGAGGGGTTCGGCCGCAGCGACGGGTAGGCCATGCTGCTGGCCATGGGCGCAGCTTTAGGTGGCGGCGCGCCGCTAGTATTTGACCAATCGAGACCGGAGAGGTCGTCCATCGTCGTGCGGGCTGTTCGTATATATAAATATCGGGTTGAGCACTCTTGGGGAATAGCACGCGATCATGGCATGACTTGTCCTCAGGAGTCGTCCGAGTTTGGGGTGGTTGTCATTGGTGGCCTGCGCCACACGCGATGAGCCCCATTTCTGTAACGCTCGGGCACGGGCACTGTGGCGCGATCACATGACGCGTGTGTAAAAGTATGGTCAAGATTCAATGATTTGGATAATGTTTGATTTTCTGATGACCATCCCGAACATTTGCTTCCTCTCTGAAATAGAAAGAACTGCCTTGTCAGCGTGTTGTGTGGTGTTGGCTGCTACATCGCGGACAAAAAGCGCCACTCTTTCCGCACGCGTTGACTAGCTCAGACTTGATAACTTGAGGATAAATCATAACTCTGCATGATTTGAGATGACACTTTTTGTTTTCTTAGTTTCTTCAATTTTCTTCTACTTACTTCTCTAGTGGTTATGAGTGGTGTCTTTTTCAGTCATGCCCCTTGCATACTGGGAGCCATGCAGGTCTAACGGGGACAGCTGCTTAACACTAGACTGACCAACTAGTTCCGGGGCCCGTTGGCGTTTCCAAAGTCTTCACTCAAACTTGCCATCCAAAACTCCCTTCCGAGCACCTGAGGTCTCGAAACAAATCTCTCCGTCAGTATTTTCGCAATGCGGCGTATCTTGGCGCCGTATCTGAACGCATCAAAGTACGCGTTCTCGTCCCTCAACATCTCGATCAACCCGCGCTCCCCTTCCTTGAGACGTTCCCTTGCCTCTATAATGTCCGCTCTGCCTCGTAGCTCATCAATCAACCGGAGATCATCCCGACCGGCAAGCTCGGGGTGCCACTTGAGGAGCGCTTCAAAGAGGCCAAAGTCGTTGTAGCTGTCAAGACTGACCCATCGCATGTACTGCCACAGCACCTCGGTCAAGAGCCAAGAGACGGGAGGCCGAATGACGGTATCCTTTGCTGCAGCGTCAAAACCGTCTCGAAAGGCCGTATGGTCTGTGATGGAGGGCTGGCATCGGTGGTTCGTTAACGCGGGTGTCATGAGCAGCTGCCCCAGTGGCATGGTCGAGGAATACTGCCAGTTGACGATGCAGGTGATGTTGCCATTTATGTCGACAAAAACGTTCTTGCTGCTAAGCTTAGCGTGGCCAAGTGGGAAACCACTGTCATCTTCAGGTACGCTGAACTGGGGGATGATATCCTGGATAATTTTACCCGCTGTGTGGTACTGGATGCGATTTTCGCTGCTGTCAATCTTGTCACCGACGGCCATGAAATCGTTCCAGCGATCCAGAACGAGATCGTAGTTGTCCGCGTCTGGATAATCTGCTGGGTCCGGAGCCGGGCCGCGAAAGAAATGATTGCTCATGTACAGGTCCTGAACATGTCCGAAAAGGGCATCCATCAGCGCCTTGTAGTAGTCCTGCTCTGTGGAAAAGGGGCCCCGTTGCGTTTCCATGGAGAGAGCGTAGCGGTCTTGGGTAACAAAGGCCGGTGCCCGTATTTCGCCCACTCCAAAGCTGTCGTCCTTCTTCCACAGGGATCCTATCTTGTCGAACCTGAGGTTTGACAAATCAAAACTGATTTTTCCTAGTTGCCTCAAGATTCGTGCAGCGGCATCGGACGGGTTCTGACCGCCGACAAGGCGTACACGGCTCAGGTGCTCTGCAAAAGGCACGCCGGGTGCGACGGTCATCAGAATGTACGGGACGCCTATGGAATTCACATCGGTACAACTTGCCTCTGGTCAGTACTCTCTCGGCACCACAGTAACGCGGTCTACGGGTACGTACCTGTGGTGAATAATTCGGGGCACGGGTATGCTGCTGTAGCGGGCGAGATAGTCGAGCGTTGCCACTTCGCTCCTCATCAGCTCACACAAGAGTACAGCGGGCAAACCCTTTCCAGCTCCGTCGGGTCGTGGAGTGCGAAAGGCCCATTTCAGGTCATCGTCAAACTTGACAATCACCACTTTGTTGAAACTCCCCAAGAGTGGTGGACCCTCTATCTGAGCCATACACGGGGGCTCTCGCAGGCTCATGGCCAGCTTGACGACAGCGATGATATTCAAAGGCGCTTCTGTTGCCATGGCTGTTGGGCGATGCCAAGGTCTAGATGTTTTACCTTGCAACATAAACCGAGGAAACGGGATATAAGAGGTACTCAACGTGAAGCAGGAGACGGCAGAGACGTTCTTCAAAGCCAATACTTTGATCTCCGACTTTGTTATGAGCAAGTTATATCTTCGGGCCTCGGAGTTCCGATACAAACGATCAGATGATACATGGTAAACCCAATATGTAGCCTGTGGCCGATATTATGCAAGGCGACTTGATCATGTACGCCACTGTGCTACAACACCACCTACCTGTACGCGTTGTTAATCTTGTATACACAAGCCTTGGTGTTTGTTTTTCTCCTTATAAGGTCTTGAGGACTCTCAGGACAATTCAAACATCGTCAAAAATCGTGAAAATGGCTGTCGTCGTTACTGCGGTCGCTGTTCCCTGTCTGCTTTGCGGACACATGGTCTTCGACGGTCTAAACAGAAATAGACCGACATGGTTGAACCAGTTTCGTATACGTATGTTGGATTCCAGCCACTAGAGCTTGTCTCTGTGTACTAAGTAGATCCTAGTTTATTCGAACAACGGAGTCGTCTCCATCTCGGGAGTAGGCTATCACACGAACCTGAGAATTGACCGTTGGGTCGCTCCGCCAGGCTACTACAGCCGTTGGGATGATGTGGGCTATGATTGGCCCGATCATCACCGCGTCGGCGTCTTGCGTCAGGCACCGATCGAAGGGCGCTGGGGGGTTGTCTTTCACGTGGCCTGCTGGGCGCTGCTGGACGCTGCTGTCGGCCCGGTGCCTCTAGCGCGGCTTCTCGATCTCTGTAAATCTTTTCCGATCATTAACAGCAAGTATTCTTCAATTTGGGGCCCCTTTCTTGGTGGCCCCGTGCATCCGGATGACGATCTCTGCGTCCAAGTCTCCGAAACCGACATAGAGCATCACAAGCTCTGCATCATCAGGGTCGCCAGGCATAATCCGTTCCACGTGCCGGAGCTCGACGATCTTGTCATCGAACGCGACGATCATCTGACACCAGTGGTCTTCCCGAGGGCGCAAACTAGCGACCCGTTTGCGCGGCTACCGCTAGAGCTGGTCATGGCCATTGCCAAGCTGCTTCCGACGCGCGACCTTCTCCACCTGCGACTCGCCTCCTCCTCTTACACACCCGTGTTTGAAGAGCAGCACTTCTGGGCCTCGCGATTCCGTCCGGGAGGCGAGCGCTGCTGGCTGTTCGAGTCACAGTACTGGGATACGGCGGCGACGGACTGGCGTCGGCTATACCGTCTTACAAGCCCCACGCGCCGCTCGCAGGCCATGCAGAACAGGGAGAGGGTATGGCGGCTAGCTTTACAATTCGAAGATCTTCTGGCGCCAGAATTCATCAATATATCCCCGCCGAGCTCTACTTCGTTAGTCATGGACGTGGGCGAGTGGCGTATTGTCTCGGCCGACGTGCTGGCCTGGGACGCCATGAGGCCATACGGATACCTCACAGAAAATGGCTGTGTTAACCTCCACAGGAGCCAAAACATTGTAATTCCCCCTTCGATTGATTGGCTCTCTTTCTTTATCAGTTCCATCGCAGGGGTCGAGTACGTGGTGGGCATCAAGATGGTTGGTGCCTGCGGCGCTATCGTTGAGCTGGGATACATGGCCGACGAGAAGCCCGTCGATATCTTTGGGAAGCATTTGACTGGCCTGTGTTTGGCTCAGGGCTCCACAGGTATCCGAGCAATCCAGTGTATCTTTGATGATGGTAGTCATGCACCTTGGATCGGAAACCCTGACGGCGTCTCGCATACGAGGAAGCTGGTAGCTTACAGCGGACTCTTTGCGATTTTTGCCAATTTTGATGTAAGTGTGTTTTATTCCTCGTCTTCCTTCAGTACTGACAGAGAATAGGGCTGCAAGATTACGAGTTTAGGTATCCGGGCAGAGTGGGAGTCTGCATCGCTGCGTGATATTGCGTTGTGGGAGGATGGCATCCCAGACCGAGAGCTGCAACTGAATGAAGCCATCTTTCGAAAGATGTATCCCGACGATGGTGTATATGACCCAGTTTTTCGCAGCGTCTTTGGGGGCACGAGGGGTCAGAGCCTCCCTTACCTGACAGGCATCCGGGTGTACATTACGTCCACGCCTTGCGGAATCGAATTTGATTACACTTCCGACCATATCGACTACGTCGACACGTGTAGGGACTTGTTGGGTGATTTTCCCGAGTCCGACTTTGCGTCCGTACAGCTTTTCCGCATTGATGGACCTGGCGGCGAGCGCGTCACGGGCGTTGAGCTGGACGTGCTCGTCAACCCGTGTCGAAGCCATCTGGACAACGACACCACCGAGCTGGAATCGTTCAAGGTAGGCTTTTTTTTTACCGGATGCACCATGACGCATGGACAATGAACTGACGCATTTTTTCTTAGATCTTTACAAATCGGGGTCGGTCTTGTCACTTTCGGCGAAGGAATAAACACCTCAGAGTCAGAGTGAGGGCGATGCCGGTGCCGGTGCCAGTCGGGGAGACGATTACGGGATTTTACTGTACACTTGTAGGTTTCAAATGTGAGGATGAAGACAACATGCTGCGTGCTAACCTGTGTGATAGTTTAGCGGCTGCATCAACGCGCTGGGAGTCATTACAGAAAAGCTTGACCAAACGGCTTGACTATGACGGTGGTCAAGAAGTTGGATTGGCGAGGAAACCTGTCGTTGTTGGGACACGTCTGCGCAAAAAAAGTATACTTTTAGGTAGAAAGTTTATGTAGACTGAAAATAAAAAAAAATTGATTTTCGATAGATGGTCGCGTCTTTGGCGCGAGGTTGTGTCCAATCTTGCCTTTTGTGGACAGAGGATTGTATAATACTCAGAACCGCGCAACAGGAAGTGCAAGCAGTCTGTCTAATAACTCGGTCGACATTTCGGTACACTTTGTCAGATTGGAAGCTAATCGACAGGAAAGACTACAGCTTGACTAATAAGAATCCGCCACTTTTGTCTCATCATTTTCATTCATTCTCGCCCATTTCATCGTCTCTCTCATTTCATCAACTTCGAGATATCACGTCATGAACAGGCCCTCTTTTTTTCCAACTGCGTGACTCGAAAAGTGCACTGGAAATTTACCTCACAGACTTTCTCCTGAGTCGCGAGATTACATTAAGACCTCTGGGCATTACTCAAACGGGGTTTAACATTGATACTGGGGTTCAAGAATCTATTCAATGCTACCCTACAAGGCGAAAGAAAAAAAAAAGAAAGCACAAACGAAAGGAGGTTGGTACCAGAATGGAAGCTACACTTTGATAGTGGTAATGAAATTTCACGATTCACCTTTACCACCGATAATCCCGAGTCGGAATCGATTGTCATGTAGTGTTAGTCTTGAGCAGCCCGGTGAAGCTCTCGTGAAGCGGGTCCACAGTGGCAGTCGGGTCAGGACATGAAGGTTTGGAGACGCATACGTAGCCCCCTACCTCGCCAAGGAGCAGAGGAGAAGAGAAGTCCCGCCGTCCGAAATTACATCTGAACATCCGTTGACCAGTGCGTGAGTTGGAAGAGAGACGGGGCCGAGATTACTATTTGCAGGGCCCGTTCCAAGGCACAGCCAGGAAAAAAGCGGCTGGTAATATTAGATGATAGGGAGCCTGGCGTGGTGGATACGGCAAATGGAGTACTACAGGCAATACTGATAGTGGTGATGCGACTCGGCCGACGCGACGCTGACAAGCCCTGGTTTGATTCTATATAAAGTCGGGACGAGTGGCCGAGTGGATATGTAGAACATGGGACACGATGGGAGAAAGACAAGATGGGTGTACTCCGTAGTGTGACTTATTATCTCTTGTATCACCCCGCCCACTTGAACGGTGAGTCTTTTGTTATTGTTTTAAGAGACGCGCGTCAATGGGATGATCCAAAGCCAATAAAGGGCGAATAAATGGAGTTGTTGACGATGATGACAGCAATTTGCCGCGTGAGAAAACGGGGAAACCTCGTAAAAACGGATTCGTCTAATAATTCTTTGTTTCGATCGACCGTATGCTTGGATGGGGTACAAGCATGCACATAGATGGGGGGTTGGGGGGATACGATTTAGTAAATGAGGTGAGGTGAACAAGGGAGAACCAGGTAGCCAGGATAAGTTGGGGCTTGAACCTTGAGAGGACTGTTGACATGACAGAAGAAGCCTGCAAGGAAGGGTCTTTTCGAACGTTTCGTCTCGTCTAGTTTCGATTTGTCGTCTTGGCCATTGTAAGGCACGAGGCCAGATCTGTTGGACAAGCGTGGACCCGTCTCGAAAATACATTGTCATACCCTCCAAGTCACGTATTTATTATATCGCAAGCACCACTGGCTGGGGACACAAAGGAAATAGCATGGCATCTTGTGGTGAATGGGATAGTATGACGTAGGCGCCTCTCGTAAAGACGGAGGATTTTGATCAGCGAGGTACGTACCCCTTGCCTTGACCACCCCCGGTCAATGCCAAGGGCCAGCGGGTGTAAAGCGGGACTAGGGGCTCTTCGCGAGAGAGATTTACAGTTGTGATTGGTCGATGGTCGATGGGGCCATGTCTTGCCATCGTTTCATGCCCCTGCAAGGTACGCCCCAGAAATCATGCACTAGGGTAGGTCAGGAGGTACTTTCAGGTACAGCAAAGCAGCGAGCCAGGCAAGCATCGTGCCACGGGACATTTCTGACCAATCGTTTCGGGTAATGCAAGCCTTGGGAAATGGTCGTCTGTGCCATTCATGTAAGGCAAGTCGATAAAGAACAGAAGGAGAAGATTCTCCGTGATATTCAGACTTGGAGAAGAATAAACGATACTTGGAAAGAACAGACGGAATTGGAACAGAAGCCCCGGCCGAATGATTTTCATTTCCGGTTTTCATTTCCTAACTATATGCATGACTCTTTCTTTCGATATGATTCTCATGTGCATACCATGATAGGGTGGCACTGCACTTACATACAACCCAATCGTGCCAATGTCCCCGCACCGTCTCATCTCCATCAGAGTGTGCCCAGGTCGTCAGGTGCCAAATCAGTCACGTCTGAGCACTCGCTTGAGTCGAGCTGAATGATTCTTTTCTCTCTTTTTTTCTATCGAAAATAGCGCCTGGACCTACATGCTCCCGAAAGCATGCACATACCCGCGCGAAATTAATACGAAACGTCTCTGCATGCACAATACGTAGTTGGTGCAGAAATCGACTCCTTCATAAATTGATTTTGTCTACAGAGATGTAAATACCTCAGCCAATAGCCTCGCACAAACACCGAAAACAGCAAACATTGGTGTGCCTGCCTCAGTTACAGGCTTACAGCGCCTGTACGCCTGCAGGTTCACATGCTGCGCTGGCGGCGTGGACCAGGGTCATTCTTAAATAGGTAATAAGCGCCTTTCCTTGGCCCACGCGAACAGCTGGTCCTGGTCTCTCCAGGCCAATCAACTATTTAATTAATCTATAACGCAAATATGCTTCACTTCCACCCCCCTGACGGAAGAAAGATGGTGGGCGAGTTGTTTGCAATTTTCTTTCTCCTTCTATTGTCGATCATGTTGAGGGTACATGGCTGATGCGCACAGTCCGCGAGGTCGGAGCTTGTACAATGAACAAGCTGCAAGGCCAACCCACCACCACAGCTTGTCGTGAGACACTTGACGCTCAACGCTGTCCAAGGCAAGGCCAAGCAGGTTTGACAGGAACCGCCTGGCCGGTGCCCCTTGCAACCCTGAGTAATATTATAAGCCCGTTGTCATAGTTACTTGGCGGTCCCCTCAGTGAGCGACTCGCTTTGGAAAAAAAAAGAGATCAGCTTGATGCAATACATCGAATGAGAATTACTGTCGTGATAGGCTGCAAGTTGATCAGATGACTTCTACTTGCAGTGAATTTCTTGAAACACCGACAGCAAACTCAAATAGCCCAGATGTCTGGCCTGACACCTACCTACCTAATCGTTGGGCTGGCTGTCAAAGGTACGGATTAGCTTCACACCTTTTTCCTATTGAGGAATGTACATGAAAGTACCTTTAACTGTAAATGGCCACTCCACCCCTCATCTCCGCTCACCTCACCTGGCCATTTAGTTGTCTTAGCGCTGCTCCTGAGTACTTGTAGGTACTTCTGGGACCGCGCCACTTGGGGCGCTACCTTGCGTCGCCCGTTTGCTCGTCTGCCTCTGCCTCTACTCTGCACCAGTTATACAAGGCGTTCGTCTATCCTCCCTCCGCGCCTCCCTTTCTTCTTTTCTACGCAACAGTCCTTTCACAACCCATTTCGCTCATTTTATTTCTTCCCCTTCCCTTCTTTTTACGCAATATTTGCAACCCACGCTCCTTTCAACTTTTATCAACTCAGCAATCCGGCCGCATTCATTCCTTCAACACCACGTTTCGACAGTACCATCGTATTCTTTGAGCAACCTTCATCCTGTATCACGATTTCGATCTGTTGATCCTTTCGGCCCGCTAAACTGTTGTGCAATCAAGCAAAGCTCGCCCGTGTCTAAAGCTGATCATTCTCAACCTTTTCGAGTCATCTTTCAAATTCGACAAGTTCGTAGACGGTCGTCTCTTTTCACAACCCATCATCGCCATACAGCCCGCGTTGATATACCAGCAAAACCAATCCAGGACGATTCGATTTCCGATCCAACCGCCAAACCGAAAATTCCCTCTTTGGCCCGGCTTCTTCAAACCGCCCCAGTTGACCAGTCTCGTTCTATTACGCGCCTTTTTGTGTGTCGCCATATAAAAAATCGGGTTCCCTCGCGCTCACGCAGCAACTGGGCCTTCACTGGAATTCGCCAAGTTTCAATCCGCGCACGAGGTTGGGATTTTCGTGACTGCGTAGTTGCGTCCACGTCATCTGCCCCTTTTGAGGGATTGGATTCTTTCATTGGCGAGGATATTTTAGTGCCTCCCAAGTCCTCTTTCGAAATCTTTTCATTTTCTTGGATGATTGCGAGTCTGGTAAGTTGTTTGCGCTCATTCACACCCTCGAACCCTCTCCCGCGACAAATGCCCCACCCCTGCCCTTAACGCGACATGCGGCAATGTGTGATTGAAGGGCAAGTTCGGTGGCGGCGGTGCAGACGGAAACCTGTTTTCAAAAAGCAGGAAGCGGCAGCGAGATTGGTGGTCTCGAACTTCGCCAGGCTAAATGACATCAAATGGCCAGAATCTTGGCCGTTTGACGGTTGCCAATGCAGCTCCAGTTGGTGCAACACCATCGCAGCCCCAACTCACCAGCCACTCAACGTCTCGCAGTTCGCAGCTGCCGCCGGCCGCCTGCCGCCTGCCACCCTTGGCAACGCATTTCCCTTGCCACCTGCCGGATTCTGGTTCTCTGCAAACACGTCATCCGCTGCCTTTCACTTGATCATCATCACTCTTTTACCATTGTTTCTCGCAATTTCCCAAATGCATCTCTTCAACTAGTCAAAGTTTTTTCTTCTCTCGAGCCCGTCTCACTAACACCATCTCAGACTGCTCATCGCGTCGTCCACTCCTTACCATCAAAGAACTAGCTGCGTCTGAGACCAGCTCTTGCACTTGGATATTATCAAAATGTTCAAGCTTACTACCGCCGTGCTGATCGGCTTGGCCGGTAGTGCCAACGCCTTCTGGCGCATGGAGTGCCCTGGCCGTCTCAATGTTGCCCGTATTGATCCCATCGTTAACCCCAAGGATGTCTCTGCTCACGCTCACTCCCTCCACGGCTCTTCTGGTAAGTTTCTCTCGACTCGGCATTGCTTGCAAACTACACAACACAACCGAGACAATCTAACTCGCCTCAGGCCTCTCCGCCTCTGCCGACGGTTCTGCTCTCAAGGCCGGTAAATGCACGTCTTGCCGCGTCGAGCAGGACAAGTCCGCCTACTGGACACCCTCCCTGTACTTTCAGGATTCCGACACAGGCAAGTTTGAGCTCGTCACCCAGGTCGGTGGTATGCTCGCCTACTACCTTCTCAACGGAGAAAACATCAAGGCTTTCCCCGACGACTTCCGCATGATTGCTGGCTCCAATGCCCGCCGCGCTTACACCGCTGGAAACCCAGAGCAGGCTGATCCCGACAAGTCTCTCTGGCACTCCATGGGCGAGCCCAAGCAACACATACTCGAGCAGCGCGCCCTCGGCTTTAACTGCCTCAACTACGACAAGCAAGCCGAGGGCACCCTCTACCGCCATAAAATGCCCGACAAGGCCTACCTCGATGCCAATTGCAAGGACGGTATCCGTCTGGAGATCATGTTCCCCTCATGCTGGAACGGCAAGGATACAGACGCCAAAGACCACAAGTCCCACATGGCCTACCCCGACCTCGTCATGACTGGTACCTGCCCAGAGGGTTACGAGACCCGCGTTCCCTCTCTCATGTTTGAGACCATCTGGTCTGTTAGTCCATATAAGGACCGCAACGGTCGCTTCGTCTTCTCCAACGGCGACACTGAGGGTACGTTTTGTACTCGGCACTCTTTAATGGGAAATCCCACTAACTCTCACAGGCTACGCTTACCATGCTGACTTCATGATGGGTTGGGACCGCGATTTCCTCCAGCAAGCCGTCGAGACTTGCGTCAACCCGTCTGGACGCATTGAAGACTGCAAACTCTTCACAGTTGTCGACCAGGCAACCGCCACCTCTTGCAAGCTCGAGAACGCTCTACCCGATAAGCTGGCTTCTGAGCTGCGGAATATTGAGGGCCCCATGGATAAGCTTCCCGGAAGCATCGCCGTCTTTGGTGACGGCGGCAACCCGTCCGTACCTGAAACTAACAGCATTGCATCTACTCCCACCGATACTGGCACCTCCCCGGAGCCTATTCAGAGCTACACTCCTGGTAACACGCCCACGAACCCTGCCGAACCTCTCCCTGGTCAGGTCTTCAAGCAGGTTGACTCTGAGTCAAACTTGTCCTCCGCTCCCACTCCTACCGCTTCTACCAACCCCTCTGCCCCTGTTGCTGCCGCCGCTGCCGTCACTGAGGCCCCTACCACATCGGCCGTCGAGCACAGCTACTACAGCACCGAGTACATCACCAACGGCAACACTATTAGCAAAATACTCTGGACGCAGCAGCTCGTCACTGTCACAGAGACAGTCGAGGCTGTCCCCGCCCAGACCGTCGACGCTGCCAAGCGCCGTCGTGCCCATCTCCACGCTCACGTCCGCCGGAGCTAAATAAGTACAAAGTCGGAGCGCAATATGAAGTACAAAAAACTAAAGGTTGCTATTTGATTTCGTGGGGGATTTTTGACGATCTGGACAGGTTCCGGAAACTGGAACAACTTTCAAGTTGGTATGATTTAAACAGCATTCTGTCTTGAAGGTTCTTTCTTTTCTTTTCATAGAGGCAGAAATGCTGTGCAATTCTTTTTGATAACATAGGATCTAGCAAGAAGCAAGCAGCCATGAGTTTTTACCCATTACGAATAAATTGCGTACTCGTGACTTGTAATTGGCCGGGCCGGGCCGGGCGGAAAGGCCGCAAGAATTCCAGGCGTTGGTTTGCTACCAATGACAACCAAATTCAAGGATGTCGTGATAACCTCCTATTGACAGTTGGTACGCGCTCAACAGAATGCGATTTTGGAAAAGAGAAACTGAAGCTGAATTTCCCTGCTCGTTAGATTGCCATAGAATAAATATTTTCTTTCCGCCTGCCGCAGGCCTCTCAGTGGCTAGTGGTGTCGCTTGGTTGGAATGCGTCTCACCAGGCAACACATTCCTCATGACATTGTAACGGAAATTACACCCCATATGCACCAAAAACACAGACCACTGTTTATGAGGACTTTGAACAAAATGTGACGGCTCTGACCAAACAATGCGGCATCCTTTATCGCTCACGCCCTCCTTTGCTCATTCACTCTTTTAACGCAAACAGCAGACGCCATACGGACATTCACCGCGAGTCCCGAGGCCAACGCAGTCCTTTTTTTGTTCTTGTTTTCTTCTTTAAAGCGGTGGCGAATAGGGGGAGAGAGAGATTCTGCAACCGATGCCGATCTCGACAACCCCCTTTGCAGGATTTGGATGGACGAAGCCATGACGACGCTGGACAGTGCATCGGTCCGCAAGGACGGTGTTCTCGGCGGCGTCAACTTGCTGCAGCGACGCGGCGCCACCACGCTCGGGCTCGGCTGGCTTATTGCCATTGTTCTGTGCGGGGGCGTCTCTCTCTTCATCGTCGTCGGTTTCGCACTGGCGTGGCGTGCGCAGAAGCGGCACTCGCCGCTGACGGTGACGCGGACGACGGCATCGCTACCATACGAGGCGTCGGGCTTGACGGCGCTGCTGCGACAGCCCGCCTCGACGACGCGTCTGGCGAAGCGCCGCATGACGGTGGTGCGCGAGAGCTACTCCGACGAAGATGAAGACAAAATGACGCTGAGACGGTTCTCACTGAAGCGCATCTCCTCGCTGCCGGTGCTGCCACCGCTGCCGACGTACAGCACAATCAGGTTGTTCAACCCCAGCAGGGCTTCATATCGAAAGGAAAGGGGCTGGCTGGTGGACGAGGAGGCGATTGCAGAAGGCGAAGAGCGGCGGATGAGCGTTAGCAAGTACAGACAGAGACCGGGCAGCGGAAGTGGATGGGCGGGACAAATGGTCGGGGTGCTGATGCAGGGTCCGGTGGTGAAGCCGGAACGACAACAACAACAACAGCGACATCAAGAACACCAGCCAGCACCGCCTACATACCAGCAGGATTCTCGACAACAGCCAAACAACACAAACTACGACCACATATACGAAGACCTCGAGAAATCACATCATAACTACCATGCCGAAGAGGAACCGTCAATGCCAGCCATGCCTTCCGCCACACACACCCGAGACTCGGATGCCAGTACGAAAGACTTTGTCCGCCCGGCGGCCGCCGTGCTCGCACGGCACCCATCCTGCACTGACTCGGATCTGCGGTCTATTCTACGCTCCACGGAACAACGCTTACGCGACGGCGACCGCAGCCGCAGCTGCTCCCCTGAGAAGGCGCTGCACACGCCATATACTTCGCCGACTAAACCGCGGAGCGGCGGCCGCGTATCTCGCCAAGGGTTATCGCATAACCACAACAACAGCCCGACGCGGTATGGGATTCCCGGTAGTACCAGCGGTGGCGGCATGGGCACGCGTGAGGGCTCGGCCGCGTCGGTTGGCAGCGCGGCCACCAGCCTCGTTGCGCAAGCAACGGAGGAGCTGGAGCTGCCGGGGGGAATGGGCAGCCCGAGCCGTCTGCGTGGCCACGAGTGGCTGGCGGGTGATGAAGCGATACTAAAACTAACGACGCCGCAGCTGCAGCAGCTACAGGACGATCAGAAGGAGGAGGAGGAGCGTATAGCTCAACGCGACAGTGCGCAACGCCAGTATTACCAACAGCTTCAGCAGCAACAGCAACAGCAACAGCAGTATATTAGTCCTCAGCGAAGCCCGCAGAGGAGCCCGCAAAGGAGTCCGCAGCGCGAGCGATCCCAGAGACGCGGCTCCGTCGACAGCGATGCCTCGTCGAGCCTTTCCACGCTCTACAGTGTCGGAGACGAGATTGACCACGCCTCAATCCAGGCTGTCGTCGAGGGCCCCGACGATCCGTTTGTTGAACACGGCAGCCGCGCAGATGGTTTGCCCGTGCTTGCGCCCCTGCGACGCACCATGACGATTAGCTCGGACACGCTCGTTCGCCACATTGACCTTGAGAACATGCCGTCCATCTACCGTAGCCCGCCTCTCCAAGAACAGCAGCCGAAGCTACAGCAGGGCTACCAGAGGCTGCACAAGTCGCTCGACGTGCAGCGCTTTGCCGGCGTCCTGCTGCCGCCGCCCGCCCAGGCGCGCGCCTACGAAGACGTCCGTCCCAAGTCGGAGGCGGCGGCAGAAATCAGTATCTGCGTTTCGCCGCAGGTGTCTGAGTCGAGCTACACTGACATCTCGGTCGACACGACGATATTAAGCGACTATATGACCATGGTGGACGAAGAGGAGGAGAAGGTAGAGGCTGGCGGGCATGACGTGACGCCGGTCAAGGACCATGGCCGTCGGCGTGGCTCGGATGCCTCGTCGTCGCCTTTTAGCGAGCAGGAGATTGTCAGCATAGTTATGGCGGCGGAAGAAGCGTCACCGAAAAGGCAGTCACGGCGTGCGCTTCCCATGCCGCCGGTTGTCTTTGCGCCCGACGGGTCGGTCGTACCGCAGGGGTTGTCGCCGCCACCCAAGAGCGTCGCGCGCAACAAGTCCCTCATCCGCAAGCCATCGGTCACGTCGTCGTACTACAGCAACGACTACCATGATAATAAATACTATAACAATAACAATGCAGAGCCGCAGATTGTCGGCGTGCCGGCCTCGCGCAGCGGCACTATTGTCAAGGGCCTGTCCGTGTGCCGCTCGGTCGCGGAGCTGCGCCGCATGAACTCGCTCACCAGCAACGTTAGCTGCAAATCGCTCGTCTCGTCTGCGCAGGCCGAAAATAGAGGCACTGAGCAGCAGGCTTTGCGGCCGACGACGGCTCAGGCGTCCACGAGACCTCCCCGCATGGGCGCGCGTCAATATCTGAGTGTCTATGGTGGTGGCGGCGGCCGGGATAAGCTCGACAGAAGCAACAGCAGAAGGAATCGTCCAAGCGGTCCGCGCCCGAAAAAGAGCGACGGCGGCAGCAGCAGCAGCGGACATGCACGCTCGGAAACAGCAACGACGATGACGGCCCCGACGACGCCGGAAAGGCCGGCCAAGAACCCGCGCCGAAGCTTGGGCAATGTAGGCTCCATGGTGGAGCGCTACCAGCAAAAGGGCCCGGACAAGGAGGCAGATTACGGCAAGGAGAATGCGGGCTTGGGCATCTCGCTCCCGCCGCCGGCGTCGCCGCCGCCGACGACGACGACCAGACCGCCCCGGAACCCGGCCGTCGCGGAGCTGGCGGCCGCGCAACGCAGGGAGAAGCGTGGCAGCGTGGACAGTCTGGGGCTCTATGACAAGGATGGCTTTTTGCTGCCGTCACCGGAGCGGGAGCTCCATAAGAAGCTGCTGCGCATGTAGGAGACGATGGTGCTCTCAGCGATGGCGATGGAAAAAAAAAAACAAAAAAA